GAGGAGGTGAGGAATCTCCTTTTCCCCTTTCTCCTTCTTCTTCTGCGAATTTCTGGTGTTTCCCGAAAATCCGGCAGAGTTCCGGCGTCTTCAGGCGGCAGGAAGAGCTCCGGCGGCGGTGGTCGAGGAGGTGAGGAATCTCCTATTCCCCTTTCTCCTTCTCCTACTCTTCTTCTTCTCTCTCTTCCCCCCCCTCCCCCTTGGTGTAGAATGAGGGCTCTATTTATAGTTTTTCTGGAGTGGCATAGCCCGTAAATAGGCGTGAGATCAAGGGCGAACAGGGAGAGGTTTGAATGGACGGCCGATATCGAATCCTTTGATCATGCACCGTTCGTTGGACATTTGAAGGCCTTAATGATGTCGGAATTCGATGATGTTGGGCTCGTTGGATTCGTCTCGTCAAGCCGTTCGATTCGAGTATAAGCTCGTCGAAATCAGAGTTCACATGCTCCCGAAATTTATTTTTGAAGTTTCCAACTAGCTTTTGCCTCGAGATTCGTGCCCGATCAAGATAATTTTTGCGTCATGTATCAATAATAAATAATTTGACCTTAAATTTGATGATCCAATATGGCGGTAGATGAATACAAAATTAGATATAAGAAAATAATCATTTTACTTGGGAGGAAAAGTGCAGCTTAAAAATATATTAGTAATTACAATAATTTTGAAAAAGAAGAATAATAATAATAATAAATTCTCCAAAGAATAAGAACTAAGTTAACACACGCTAGTCTTTTTAAGTCAATTGTTCTTTTTCTCTGCACCACCAATGACGACCAACCAAGCCGTCTCCGTCGCCGTCGCCGATCGCAGGCCACTACCGCACCTCCTCGTCTTCCCCTTTCCAGCTCAAGGCCATCTCCTCCCTCTCCTCCACCTCTCCACCCACCTCGCCACCCGCTTCGCCTTCTCCATCACCGTCATCATCACCCCTAAAAACCTCCCCTTAATTCAACCATTCCTCTCCTCCAGCTCCCAAATCCACCCTCTCGTCCTCCCCCTTCCCCCTTCCTCATCCCTCCCCTCCGGCGCCGAGCACATCCGCACCCTCCCCGACGGCACTCCTTCCGCCGCCCTAATCCACGCCCTCTCCTCCCTCCGCCCTTCCATCCTCCGCTGGGCCAAATCCCAATCCAACCCCCCTTCCGCCCTCATCTCCGACTTCTTCCTCGGCTGGTGCGTCAACCTCGCCGCCGATCTCCAAATCTCCCACGTTTCCTTCTTCTCAGTCAGCGCTCTTCTCGCCGCCATCCTCCACCCCCTCTTCCTCTCCCTCCCTCCCCCCTCTTCCACTCCCGTCTCCGTCTCCCCTTCCCTCCCCTCCTTCCCTTTCCCCCACCTACCCTCTGTCTTCCGCCGCTACGTCGCCGGCAATCCCGATTGGGATTTCACTCGCGAATCCTTTCTCTCTAATTCCCTTTCCTCCGCCGCCATTTTCGACACCTTCGACTTCTTCGATTCCCATTACCTCTCCCATCTCCGTTCCTCCTCTTACGCCTCCGGCCGCCTCTTCGCCGTCGGCCCAATCCCCCCCGCCGTTCCCGAATCCGACAACAGCAACATTTTCCCCTATCTCGACTCCTGCCCTCCTAACTCCGTCGTCTACATCTGCTTCGGAAGCCAGTTCACAACGGAGCCGGCTTTGGCGGCGGCAATCTCAGCCGGGCTCGAATCCAGCGGCGTGAGATTCGTTTGGGCGGTGGGGACGGCGGCGCCAGAGGAATTTAATGGGAAGGGGAAGGTGGTGAAGGGCTGGGTGCCGCAGAGGGCAGTGCTCGAACACGTGGCGGTCGCTGCATTCGTCACACACTGCGGGTGGAACTCGGTGTTGGAAGGGTTGGTGGCGGGAGTGTTGTTGCTGGCGTGGCCGATGGAGGCGGATCAATTTGTGAACGCGAAGTTGTTGGTGGAGGATGCCGGAGTGGCGGTTAGGATTTGCGAAGGGGGACCGGGGAAGGTGCCGGAGGCGGCGGAGCTGGGGAGGTTGATTGGGGAGGCAGTGGAAGAGGGGAGTTGGCCGGCGTTGAGGTTGAAGGCGGCGGAGATGGCGAGGAAGGCGAAGGAGGCGGTGGCGGAAGGTGGTTCTTCTTTTCTAGCTATGGAGGAAATGGTGAAGCTCCTTAAACAGGCTACAACCGAGGATTAATTAAGCTACTAAAGGCTGTAGTTTTCTTATTTATCAATAAAGCTTGTAACTTTACTTAAATTTTTTTGGTGTTAAGTTCTATCTTATCTAATATGTAGGCTCTTAAGGTGGTGTTACAGAGGATTTTGTACTGCAATTTCTTCAATAAAAATTCTGGAAAATAAGCATATTTGGATCATCACATGAAATATATGAATATTATCAGATAGTTATCTATCATATGTTTGATTTTGATTCCAATTGATTTGGATCAGCTATCTGTTGATGTTTGTTGAGTTGTTTGGGCTTTATAGAACGATATTTTAACCTTAATTTGAGCGCTGCTAAAGCTCATTCAGTTAAATTGATCTTTATTGGACATAATGTATTAAGGTGATTAGTTCTTATTGATAGGAAGACCTCCATATTCTGACCCATATTTAAATGTAGGTTCTGGATTCAAATTTATTAATGAGCGATATCTAACTTTATTAGCACGCAAGCTCTATAGGTTTACTTGAAAATATATATTGAGAGTTGGTATATGAGAGAGAAAGAGGCAAAATAGTACACAAGGTTAAATGTTTGTTGTGTAAGTGCTCTAAGGTGCAAGAGATATTAAACAACATCGAGCCTTTATCTACTAAACTGGTTCAGCTACATGAATCTTTTTTTTTTTTTTTTTGCATTGTTAGAGTCAAATTATCATTTAAATATAATAAAAAATGTTATTTCTAATAGTTTCTAACCAAAATATTTTAGGTTTATCTTTACATTTCTTAATATGAGCCATATCTAATGCATCTATTATGCTATACCGGTCATCGGAAGGTTGTCATTAGGGCTGTCAAAATCGGGTCACGGGTCGGATTTGGGTCAAATCTGGAACTGACATGACACCAATTGACCCAACCCAAACCAGACTCGTTTTTGCAAATAGGTTTGGTATTTCAACCCGGACCCGACTCCTGCGGGTTGCTGAGTTGACCTAACCTGACCCGCAGACACGTTTTGAAGGAGGCGTTGGATGGCAGATGGTGATGGCGACAACGTAGGCGGGCAATGACGCAGGTGACGGCACAGGCGGGGTGAGGAGTCACAATGAGATTGTTTTGAAGGAGGCCTTGGACAGCGGGGCGGTGCAGGATACGACGATTGCAACAACGCAGGAGGGCAACAACGTAGGCGGGCGACGATGCAGGCAGGGTGACTACGAGGGCATCACGATGAGGGCATCATGGCGAGCTCATTTCGAAGAGGTGTTGGAAGGCGGACGGAGCAGGCGACCTAACTCCACCCTCCACTTTTATTATCTAGGACTTGGGACCTGTCAACATCCAAGACATGAGACCTAACAACAACAGTGTTGTAAGAGATATTAAACGATCCAACATATTCATATTCACCGTTTATTTATAGGGATCAAATCATTACAAGTGATGCTACATTTATTATATAAAAAGATGCATATACTAATGACTAAATACATATTACCCTTCATGCCTTACTAACTTTGAAGGATGATTGATCATCTTAATCAAAATTCTCTATGTTCGACGAGTCTTGTAGTACAGAGATGTTGATTAATTTGATGATTGTTGAGCCGAGAGTGCTGCAGCTCCCTAGTATCTCCAAGTCAATGGCATGTGGTGGAGCTCTAAATTGTCTCAAAGTAGGGGCGAATTATTGCTTTCGGTCACCGGATGTCCGGACATCCAATCCGGTGACGTCACGTCACCCAAATACACTGGGTCCCGGTATATTTTGGTGACGTGGCAACACCGGATTGGTGTCCGGACGAATCCGGACATCGGACGTAATAATTTGCCCAAAGTAGAAGGGGAGTGCGTTTAGGTTGTGAGGATAAAGGGCAACACCCTTCCAAGTCCTCTGCCAAGTTAGGTCTTGTGACTCTTGGGAAAGCTCCTTTGTGGGCCCACTAGACATGAGTTCATTTAGTATGACCCCTTCAACTATCAAATGAATATTTGAAAATACATGTGCGAGTACATAGTAGATAGTGTGATTATCATAGTCAAATATCTCATTGCCTTCTATTTTAAATTACATTTATTATTTTTATTTTTTTAAATTAATAATTTATATAGGTGCCTGATTACTCGAATAAATGAGAATTTTCCTCTTATTAGGTAGGGCGTATGTTGGAAACTATGTAATTGTGATTTTTTTGCTAAATAATTCTAAATAAATAATTATCAAGTTGTCATTATTTCAAAGCATGAATAAAGAACTATAATGCAATATATTATATTTTTAAGTATATTTTTTATAACTTCAAAATTATATATTATATATCAATCTAACATTTTATATTTTTGAAAGAATTGAATTTATTTTATACCAAATAATATAAATAAGTAAGAAAAATCCAACTCGGTTAAAATCCCAAGGGATAAAAAAGCTCAACCTCTTGTTAAGGCTGAATTTAAGATCACATACCCTATATATATATATATATATATAATAGTTTGATAATCTTTCAAGTCGAGTCGGATTGAGCTCGAACTCGAGCTCATTTATGATACGAGCTCAAAGCTCAATAAATTAGACTTACAAGAATTCCGAACCAGCTCGACTCACTTATACCGCTAGACAGGCCCAACGATTGTGAGATTTGACGCCTTCTTAACTTCAGAAAATATATTATCGCGGCTTTCTTCGCTAAATCAACGAAACAACTTGAAGAAGCTGAAAGGTCAAACCCCTTCACTTCCCGGAAAATTTTATGGCCATGTCCTTGGACTCCGAGTCCTCGCCACCGGCCCTTAACCGGGATTGGTTCTTCTCCGCTACCAACCCCTCTTTTCCTTCGGGCTCAGCCGGAAACGTTAACCGTGGCCAAAAAGCTAGGAGAAAGTCGTCAGCGTTCCCGGTCACCGAATGGGCGTCAAAACCTTATCTACGGGAGGCGAGGCCGCAGCAGAGGCTCCCAACGGCTGGAACCTGGATGTCCTTCGGTTCTTCCGTTTCCACGTCTCCGGCAACATCAGCGGCGACGGAGCCACCTGCAGCCATCCCCCGGGGGGACCTCCGATACGCGGGACTGCGCAGGAAGGTGCGTTTCGATACAAGAGAAGAAAAGGGAGAAGGGAAGGGAGCTGGGGATGCATCGGCGGTGACTAATGAGATGGTTGCTGAGGCGGCGTCGGAAGGAAGAAGGAAAGGGTTCTGGGCTCGGCTGGTGGATCGTCGAATGAGAGTCCAAGTATCTGTTGCTATCTTTGCTGCGGTTAGTCTTTCTTAATTTATGAACGATTTGATGGAAAATTTATTACTAATCAGTTTTCATGGAACTAGATTATCTTTATAGGATTGTTGTAGCGGTTCAATTTGAAGTTTTCTTGGAAATTTGAAACCTGTAAATCCTACATTTTTTAGTTTTTCCATTCCTCGTCCATCTGAATGTTCATGTTATGTTTTAGGAGGCTCTTATTAGTTGTGTTTCTATAGTGGAGCGTACAGTATGAGTCCTAATTTATTAATTGCTATTTAGCTAATCTGAATATTGATGGTAAATTTTGGAGAGGGGAAAATTAGTCTTGGAGAAGACATTGTAAAATGCCAGCATTTTCTGTCATTTCGGCTGGTGGGCGTATCAGCTGAAGCAAGTAGTTTAAGGATCCCTGGAATGGGTTGATCATTACATGATATGAAACGTAATCTATACATACAATGTCCTAATTATATTCTCAGTATCCCCTAAAAGTTATGGTTGATTCCATATAGCATTATTCCTCTCCTTAATGAAGCCATACAATGCGTGTTTGAACTTGTATTTTCCATAGAATTCTTAGACTTCTATGTAATTCTTCTAAGAAAAATGTTCTATCATGATCCTATTTTCCTTTTATTTCTTGCAGCTTGTTCTTTTGTGCTTCACTTCCGTACTCCAGAAGAACTTCTTGCTGAATATACAGGTTAATTTGTTGCAGGTATGATATCTGATTGTTATTGTTAGTTTGTTGGTTTCTTGTGCTTCCTCTTTTGCAATATGAGAATTGTTAGTCATATCGAATAAATATTGGGAAGGCAAAGGCCTAATTGTCAGTGTTGATATAAATTAATGTTGAATTTTTTCTAATTCAGACAGAAAGTACATAGTAGTTTAAAAAGATGTTTGTACTTGTTATATCTTGGATTCTGATATGATCAAAATTTCATCTTAAAAAAAATCCTTTGTGGTACTTTTTTCCTTTTAAGGCCAGCAAATCATCATGCTACCATCGTTTATCAGTCTCACAAAAGCATATTATTACCAGAGCGATTAGCATAGCATATGAAGCTCCCAATACAGGCCAAAAGGTTTTCATTAATTCATGGAATGTGTCAGAATTAGTTTCCCCTCTTAGTGGTTTTATAGGATGTCAAATTCTTCTTTGAGTACCGAAGTCCAAGTTCTCTGAGTTTCTTTCCTCTCTATTGTTTCTTATTTTTCATTTACTCCTTTTTTGCCATGCTCCCAACCCTTATGAGGAACATTCAAAAAACCACTTGTAAAAATTTCATGCTTCCGCAATGATGATATTCATATTTATTCCTTCTTTTTAATCCTTGCAGGATCAACTTTCTAAGCAGAAATTAAGATTACAGAAGTGTGATTTATATGATCCGGAATATTATGTCGAAGCTGTTCCACCGGTAACTAGCTATCTTCTACAGAAGAGTCTGAAGAATTCTGCGCTTTTTGCTTCCCTTGCTATGCTCTGTTTTCCACTGCTTGTTCTTAGACATCTTGATAAGATTTCAAGGTTCTGGAAGTCATCAGATTCTGAAGAAATTTCTCTTAACAAGCAACTAGCATATAAGGTTGATGTCTTTTTATCAGTCTATCCATTCTCTAAGCCACTGACTTTACTTCTTGCAACTCTGCTGCTGTTATGTCTTGGTGGCTTGGCACTCTTTGGGGTGACTGATGGTACTTTAGCAGACTGTATGTGGTTATCATGGACTTATGTAGCTGATTCTGGCAACCATGCAAATTCTGTCGGCACTGGTCCCAAGCTAGTGTCTGTTTCTATAACTTTTGGAGGGATGCTTATATTTGCTATGATGCTTGGACTAGTTTCTGATGCAATCTCAGAGAAGTTTGATTCCTTGAGGAAGGGTAGAAGTGAAGTGATAGAGAAAAATCACACTTTAATCCTTGGTTGGAGCGACAAGTTGGTATGTAGTGGACCTTCCTTGATTTACCTCTAAAATATTCACTCCTGTTATGAAACTTTGCCTATTGACTCAAAGAGAATTAGACATGCATTTGTTTTTGGTTTACTTCTGTCTTAAATCCCAATTTAACACAATTAATATGATATTTTGATTTTTGACTGTCTCCATGTTTACTTGGCTGTCTTCATTAAGATTAATGTCTTCTTGCTTTGATGTTAGACATCACAGTCCTTATGCACGTAAGGCCGTCTAAATGAAAATTGATTAGAACTTTTTCAAACAACTTCTCATAATTATTATTATCATTAATTGCTAATTGACTCAATAATGTTTTTTTCCTTATTATCTTTAGGATTGTTTTGAAAATGTGATGATTTGATGAGTGCGACATGTAGAGTTCCACCTTGGATTGCTTGCTAGAAATTGCTATCGGGAATTTCATTTGGTGGGTACCTTGGATTGAGTTGCCCGACACTAGTGCAAATATATTGTTTTGCATTTGAATTTTGGTGGGTGGCACCAATACATGAAGATTCTTTGCTTAGGATTTACCATAAACATTTTAGAGATCTCTCTTTCTTTTATTTCATCACATATTCTCACAGATCTAGGGTCTTTATGAAAAATTAATGGCCTCAATAGTGTATACGGGAAGAAGATGACCTTGTTTGAGTTAATATGTTAGTGGAATATTGTTAGGGTTATTATTTCTATTGTCTATGAGTGGGCATTGGAGAAGTTAGTGAATGATATTGCTTTATACTCCATAATTGTGGTTTCTTTATTAGTGGATCATATTCTCTTTCCCTTTCCATGGATATAGGCTTGGTCGTAGCCAAATTGAAATCTTGGCATCTTTTGTTGTTTCTTTCTTTTTCTCTTTTGTGTTAATTTATGACATATTGCTATTGATCCTGGAGACACTACTACATTGTCTTTTTCGGTGCCCTCATTACAACAAACTAGTATTAGGAGCAAATTTGTTATTGTTAATTTGAAGTTTGAGATTGAGAAGGTGAATGGGCCAAAATTTTTTGAATTCGGAGAATAGAGATGCCTGTAGTTTTTTTCAACATGGTGTTGTGAAAGCACTCATAGGGCTTTCAAAGCTGTCAGTGATGTTGAGTGAAGATGAGAAGGTATAGATGAATGAAAAAGTATGTATTATGTTTAACATATGAGACCTTGATGAAACCTACTACAGAAAATTTATGGTTCAAACTTGATTATTGTTCATGATCAAAAACTCTACAACACTCTTTTAGAAGTAAAAACTGCATTTGTTGCACATGCAAGAATGTACATCAATCAATTCATATATGAATCAATTTTGTTTGATTATTTGTGATTTAAGAATAATATATGCAACTGTTGATGATGAAGATTGAGCTTTGTTTTTGTATTTCTGCTTAATTCCCTCTTATGAGCTCCTTATAATGCCATGTTGTGAAAGTGATGCCATAAGAGTAGAAGGTGTGAGCAACTTCTGTCATAAGTTAAGATTTCTAAGCTTAGGGTGTCAATGAAGAAAAGAAGAGCTAGAAATTCTTTGTGAGGGGGAGACTAGCAGAGAATGGGTCTACATTTAAACTTAAGTCTAATGACTGGAACAAAGCATTATTTCTATTGCTTTAACCCTGACATCAAAAGAGATTGACCGACTTTGAAGAAGAGGGAGAGCGCATAAGTGACAACCATCAAGAGGACATGGCAACAAATGTAAGTATAACAGATCCAGATTTTGTTGTTTTCTCTTTGACCGTAGGTTTATGTACAGTGATCGGAGATTACTTATACTCGACATATTCTTTTCATCTATATCATGATAGATCATTATTTTTTAGTTTTCAACTTTGTATGGTGTTTATATGAGCTACAATGGTGTGTGTATGACTATAGGTTTTAACATTATTTGTATTAGGAGCCATGATGGTTTGACTAAGACTTTGGTTAGGGGTAAGGTATGTATTTGATACGAGATTGGATATTTATATATTTGGGAATTTGAGTCATGTAAGGTATACATTTTTATAGATTTCTGAGGTCCTCAAGATTTGTATGGGTTATTTGGTTGTTAAGCTAGACGTGTTAGAGGATTATATGTTGAGATCCTTGTGCCTTTGGAGCAACATATTTTGGGGAAGCAGAGGATTGTAGGTATTGACATTTTTTGTCTTATGGCACATGATGTTGTGATTAATAATTTAGCTAGTGTGAGATATGCTTCTGATATGAGATTGGATCTTTGCATCTTTGGGTTCTTTGAGTGATGTAGGGTACATATTTTTTGGAGATGTTGAGGTCCTTAAGGTTTGCATGGGTTATTTGGTTTTTAAGCTAGAACAATTAAAGAATTTTATGTTGAGATCGTTGTATCTTTTGAGCATCACATTCTTGGGAAGCTAGGGAGAATCAAAAGAGAATTAACTTTTAAACTGCATGAAAAGTTCCAAAACAAATTTAGGTACAAAATGCTGAGAAGATGTCAAGTGATTGGATGGATGACATTTACTTCATATAAACTTTCACAGTGCCATATCATATCATTGCAACATTCAGGGCGAAGGGATGACTACATCAGGGTTATAGACATTCTTAGGTATGTGCAGATTTACTGGTACCATTTTAGAGTGCAATATTTTTATTGTATAGATCTCTCTCGGTGTTCATTTGAAATGTGATTTGGGCTTGATGATATTATGTGATGCCTAGCCATTTGGGACATTGAGAATTTATTGTTCTTGACTTGGAAATGAGTCATAGAGGAGATCCAACTTTGCCATAATATTGAGTCGATGGGGAGAATTGTAATTGAATAATTTTTTTTTTCATAATTACCCTTGAGATTGTATTTGAAATGAGTTGAGCACGTCACCTGGAGTATTGCCTTGAATCGTTTACTGTAATTACTGTCAAGAATTGCATCTGTTGGGATCTCATCCTCAACGTTTGGACCCAACGTGGGATTCATGCGAATTTCCTTGTTTTCATTCAAAGGTTAGTGGTTGGTGTCGATATGCGTAGATCCCTTGGCTAGGGTTTCAGACAAAAAAAATCAAAGATCTCTTTTGTTTCCTTCTATATCCTCTCAGTTTATGGTTGCTTGGAGTTGCTAGCTTTGTTTGTGCATTTGAAAATAAAACATATGTGATATACTTTTTTGGTGTGAGATTTTTAGTTTTCTCTTATTCTTTGAGTGAGTGGGTATAGCTGAGAATGGGAAATGGGTTGGTGAGTACTCTTATTTTTGAACCCACAATTATGTTTTCTTTATTAGTAGATCAAATCCTGACGTAAGTTTGGTTGAAGTCTATCTACTTAAATTTTTGTGTACTCCATGAAGTATTTTCTCTTTTTTTGTTATTTTATGGTACATTATTTTTTATGTGGGTGTTGCTTTCACATTGCGCCTTTGATGTCTCGGTTTACTTCAACTTATTCTCAGTTATTTGGTTTCAGCTTTATGAATGCTTCATAATCGAATTAAAAGTATGAATTCAGATTTCTGGTCGAAGATTATGTTCTTTCAAATATAGTTCTAAGCAAACAGCCTTTTGGGTCTAATGCTGTCTTCTTCCCTTGTAATTTGTTAATCACGTGATATGCATCTGATTTACTTTTATTTATTGTTGCATTTTAATTATGTTCACCAAGATTAGACTAAACATGAAATGGAAATTTATTCTTTTTTTGTTTCATTCACTTCGTCCATGAGCACACATATCATGTCTTTACCTGTGCAGTTCAGTGAGTTTTTTTACTCAAGCTTTTATGACAATTTCTTGATTTTTAGGCTTTATTTGGTGTTGCATGTTATCCTCTATTTCTGCAAAGGTTTTGTCAAAAATTGTGATAGAAATTTTCCTTGATGCTATCAGTAAAACTTTATGAGTTCATTGAACCTGTACTTTAAAAACCGACATTCATTCTACTTTCCGCTGAATCAGAGGCCTCAGTAAAGATCCAACTTTTAGTTACTTGCATTAGCTTTCCATTGCATATTGCTATGCACACACGTTAATATATTTTTTCTCTCAATTTTTTCTTGTCATACAACAAAAACTTCTAAATTTTCCTGCATATATAGGCACATCAATTGTCTGTTCTAATGATCTAATCTAAGCTTGCCCTTCATGTCAAAATTGTCTTAAATCAGAGATGTTAATTACAGTTAAACTTTTTCTTGTTATTTTCTACCTGCAAGGTTTATTGGAACAAATGAGGATAATCCTAAAATAAGAATCGGTTTGGTCCCCAAATTCTCCGTGAAGATATATTATAAATCCTTTGCATCTATCATATATGATTTTAAAAATTATGTAAGTGCTGATATGCAGTGAACCTTTAACCGTTTTATACTTTATATCTCGACATATTACCATTTTAACCTGTGTTTTCTTAGTTTTTTTATTTTTTTTTATTTCCAATTTTCCATTGATTAATAGGGTTCTTTGCTGAATCAACTGGCAATTGCCAATGAGAATTTAGGCGGTGGTATTGTGGTCGTGATGGCTGAACGGGACAAAGAAGAAATGGAACTTGATATTGCTAAGATGGAGTTTGACTTTAGAGGCACATCTGTTATATGCAGAAGTGGAAGCCCTCTTATTCTTGCAGATCTTAAGAAGGTTGCATAAGTCCTTTTTGTTGTGTAATATTTTGCTGAGTTTCTTGGTTTTACTTCAGCCGTCTGTCCTATAATGCTTCTAATATTCTCCCATTTAATTCACTTTACAATTGAAAAAAAAACTTTACATCCATTTTTTATTCTGTTAAAATTGACTCTAGTTTTGCAGGTATCAGTCTCTAAAGCTCATGCTATAATAGTCCTGGCAGAAGATGGAAATGCCGACCTGGTAATTGTTTGGTAGATGGTTGTGTATGGCATATTAACTCTCGTCTTCCATTCATCTCGCTTAAACGATTATATTTCAGAGTGATGCACGAGCCTTAAGGACTGTACTGAGCTTAACTGGAGTTAAAGATGGTCTAAAAGGTCACATAGTGGTGGAATTGAGTGATATAGACAACGAGGTCTTAGTCAAACTTGTTGGTGGAGATCTTGTTGAGACTGTTGTTGCTCATGATGTTATTGGTCGTTTGATGATCCAGTGTGCACGCCAGCCAGGACTTGCTCAGGTAAATTTCAGATCACGTAGCAATAATTTGTCTAGAGAAAAGTGGTTATTTTCTTCTTTAGGCTTCGTTTGGGATGGCTTTCTTACTGCTTCTTAAAATAGCTTTCTTGTACAAAAATTTTAATTTTTTAATTAAAAAGTTGCTTTAAGAAGCAGTAAAAAAACCGTCCCAAACAAAGCCTTAATATGTTCATCCTCTTCTCATTCTTGTGGCTGATTGCAATAAATTTTTTGCAAGATGCAGTATATTAGCAAGGCTTGTGTTCATATCAATAAGGCTCTTAAGCTAAATCATATATTTGCTGTTTGCTTATATATTCGTATCCTTTTTGGCTAGTTCAGTTGTCCAAGAAAAAGCCTGCTTAACTGGAAGCTACTAATTCTCCACAAAGTTTTAAATTCATATACAAGTAGACTGGTTTACTTGTGTTTTCATACTTTATGCTGACATTGCCAATTAGTAATTGTTTGGATAGCATTACCCTTAAGTCTTCCAAAGAGATGGCTAGGATTCAAATACCCCCTCAAGAAACAACAAATACCCCCTCAAGAAACAATATATCTTTAGTTTTCCATTTCTTTTAAGTTGTAACTTTTCTAGATGGTTTAATTATTTTGAATTGCACAATTTCTATGCTGCGATTGCTCAATATTAGTAGAATTGGAGTTTTCAATTGCCTCAATTATCTATGACTATTGTCATGCTTGTGTTCAGTAAAGCCTTGCATTTTTATTCTTCCGAACATTTTGGTATTGGTTTATACTTGATTATGTTTTTTTTTATATGGATTCTGCTAGTAAGGAAAGCTATGCCCTAAATCCTTTTCAGGATCATAAATTAGCGTTAATGAAGCCAAAAATACTGATCAAATATAGTTTAAGAATATATATATATATATATTTGGTGTGAACTATTAGTATTTCTTGTTTTGGTTTTATATATTTTCTTTTCCCTCAAATTCCTTGCATGTTTACAGATTTGGGAAGACATTCTCGGATTTGAAAACTGTGAGTTTTATATCAAAAAATGGCCTCAGTTGTATGGACTGCAGTTTGAAGAAGTCCTCATCAGCTTCCCTGATGCAGTTCCTTGTGGAATAAAGGTATCAGCTCTCGGAGGAAAGATCATTTTGAATCCTGATGATCACTATGTTCTACAAGAGGAAGATGAAGTTCTAGTTATAGCAGAGGATGATGATACCTATGCTCCATCAACATTGCCCAAGGTGATTTTCATTCTCTTTTCAAGAAGACTAATTTAAGGGATTACCTTTTTCTATTCCTGGAATATGCAGAACTTAAAATTAATTATTACCACTTATATCAAACTAATGAGTTTTCTAATGGGGCTATGAGAGATGTTAATGGAATATTAGGTTGGAATTAAGAATCAGTTTTGATTTATGCCAGAAATATCCAAGTATGTGAGATTCTCTATTAAGTTAATAATTGAAAAAATATAAAGAGCAACCAAAGGATTTCTTTTTATATGTCTTGAAAAAGAAAGCTAATAAAGTATCATGATAATCAATTTGGTGAGCATTAATGAGAAGGGTGTGTACCAAAGTTGCCAAAGTTATGTTATTAAATGGTCCAACTTTGCCTTATGCAATGAGAGCAACCAATAGGGTAGTTAGATGTGGAAGCTACTAGGCTTAAGGTTGGTGTCGTTGGTGAGTCGGTGAGAGAGATTTGAGAGCTAGAGTTTGAGCCTGAGTCGGTGAGAGAGATTTGAGAGCTAAAGTTTGAGCCTGAGAGAGCTAATGTTTGGGAACTAATATAGAAAAGTGAGCGTACTATTGCGAGAGAGAGATTGAGAGAGGTATCACGAGGCATGAAAGCCTGGAAGGAGAAGTGCACAACATGCAATGGGAGAAACGATCATATGGGAGCAGGAGATCGGGATGCGGGTGTTAGGACAGGAGAAATGAGTGAGATTGGTAGGGAACAAAAGAGGCGAGAGCACAAGAGAGTCTAGAGAGGATGTTGTCGTTGGGTTATTGTAGAGTGTCCAAAGTATGATCTAGCATGAGGGGGAGATGCAAATGAGAAATTGTGGGAGAGAAAGTGCAATGAGGGATGTTTGTGAAGTAGATAAATATTGAGAGAGGTCATGTCCTCAGAGATGATGTGCGGGTTACCTAGAATGTGGGAGATGCCGTATGTTTCTTTTATATATATATATATATATATTGGGACATTTAGCCCTTTTAAGAAAAACT